TCTATCCAAAAACACTTAAGTAAAATAAAACAAACAGTTAAAAATTGTAGCTCAAACAATAGATGATAGATATCTTACAAACACAGCAAATTAAAGCAAACTGGCACAACTCACATTGCACCATTTTATTAATGTGCTTTAAAATTCAATTTAAATTCAGCTTAGCTGCTAAATATATTTATTTTGCTGTTTTTATATGATATTACCTATTTTTTTGAGCTAAAGCAGAATGATGGCTTTTTTTTTCAAGTATTTCTTGATGAATATTATGATATTTCTACAGTGTTAGTCAATGTATAGTGTCAAAGCAGACTGTGTTAATGATTTGTAGCTATCAAATATGTTTTTTAGTGTTTGATTTTATTTTTGTGAATAAGTACCATTAAATTAATGTTTAATTTTTGAGTTATAATGTAAGAAGAATTGAAAGAATTAATTTTCCCGTATTTCTTTTTCTTTTTGTAAAATCTAAAAAAAAAAGGTGAATGGAGATGTATGTTTAAATGTGTATATTAAAAAGTTAATTGAAATTTTATAAAGAATTTTTACTACAGAATGTTGAAACTTGAATATATTGCCTATTAGAAGCTTCTTCGATAAGGTTTGTAGTAGGAATCTCAAGAGTTATAAATATAAATTCTTAAAGTCCTTATCAACATTTTTTTGGCAAAATTATTTCTCTCTAAGAGTTATAAATATTTTGTGATGATGTAATATGTATGCTATTTCTTTAACTTTGTTTAAACTTTTGTGAGCTATGTACATCTAAATGGATCTAGAAGGCTATAGTAAAAAATAAGTAAATTGACTGATTTTTTCATCTAACTGTTTCATAGGAACGCACCTTTTGTCGGAGCATACAGTCATTGACTTACCCACAGGTGTGGTAGCTTTCCAGATGGACACCTGTGATCCAAAAGTTTCAGGTTTGTTATTGATAAGTGTTATATCAACTAAGCAAATGAATGATAAAGTTGACCATCTTTTAACTTATGATAACCCACCTAACAATGTACAATATATTGGTATTTATGAAAATAATCATAATAAAATGGAAAATTCCAATTTATTTTTCCAAAATTAATTATCAAAATGACTGTCATCTTTGTGTACAGTAGTAAAGTGAGGCAAATGATTTTAATACTTCCTGAATTGATTGATGACAGCAACGAGCCTATTGTTAACATTATTTTTTCAAAGCCTATTGTTAGCATTATCTCTTCAAAGTTTGTTGTTAATTTAAAATCATAAATAATATTCAATTTTAAACTGGTACACAATTAAAAACATTTTACTTAGGCCTATCTATGGCCTTCAGAAAGTTAACGACTCTACATGTTTCGACTTTACAACGTCATCCTCAGGAGTGAATTACAAGATTTTGTTGTTAATGTTAGCCCTTCAAAGCCAATTGTTAATGTCAGCTCTTGAAATGCATTTTATTCATAGTTTCTAGTTTTCTCAATAAATCCATGAAAATAAATATTTACTCCTAAATGCACTGATGTCTTAGATTTTATTTTTTAATCAGAAGTATAGAATCAGCAATTCAAACATGGAAAAATATGGTCAGTGATTACCGAATCCTCCTTCCTCTTTTTTTTTCACATAATTTCTAAATTATTGCAATAAGTATTAGAGCTTATGATGATAATATTGTGGGAACTACTATCATTAAACCCATCAGTACGTGTGCCGTGGCCCTGCATAACTCTTCCTTCAAATTTTTAAGGAGACAGCTTATAGAAAAAAAACTATGCTGTATATATATATATATATATATATATATGTATAGTTATGCTCTGTTAAATAACAAAGTGCTCAGTGTAAAATATATGTGTGTGTAATATATCACTATTAAAAATGTGGTGCAAGTTAATAGTTTTCATAAATTGAGAAAGATAGGTACTATTGTTAACCGTCACATGTAGAAAAATCTGATAATCATAGTATTTCTGTTTGGTAGCTATTCCTTACTCATTAGTGAAAAACAAATAGTATAATACAAGTAGTTACCAAGGTGTAAGTAATGACAAATGGAGGTTCAATTATGTATTCTGGGACAGTTTATTGAAATTAGTTTATGATTTGTTTTATTGTAAATCTGAATTAGCATTTAGAATTTAAATTTTTAATTGTTTTTGTAATGTTTTTGTAAAATATATTATGTGTACCATTTAATGTACATTAAATTTTCTTTACCGACCTTTACCTTTTTTTTTTTGTATTTGTATAGCCATTGCTGTAGCATCTGGGGGTCACATTTATGTTTACAAGAATATGCGTCCATTTTATAAGTTTACTTTGCCAACCTTGAACATTGAACCAGCTGAGTTAGAGGTTTGGAATCAAGCTAAGGAGGTGTGTAATTTTTTTTTCACCATGTTTGAATGTCTAGCTAAACTAAAGGTGTGTATTGTTAAAAATTGTATATTTTTTTATTCCTCTTTCATGTATACAACATTGTAATGTTCTTCTGGTATCAGTGAATTGTTCTTTTGTGATACAATGTTTTAATATCCTTCTGATAATGTTGATGAAAGCTGCTAATAAAACAAGTAAGAAACAATTTTTGGTGGTACTTCTGCTGTGTCTGTCCTAAAGATAAGACAGTCTTGTATTTTTAATTCTTTGACCATCCCTCTTTGCTTTTTTAATTATTTAGTAGGACATCAATATATTATTCATCATAGGCAACAATTAATAATAATAATAATACATCTTTGCAAACTATGTAATATTTCCTGTATTAATTTTCATTTCTACTTTTCATCAGATTTATACCAAATGACAGTTAGTGTAATTGTTTCCCAATTTTTCTGTAAGTATACTTCATTGATTAATATGAATTGAAAGCAGTTGATACATATATGTGTGTATTGTTTTTTTTTTATTGAAGCAAATTTCTTCATGGATTATCTCTTTACATAAGGGCATCATTTTCTGCACTTGTCACAAGATTTTATTGAGTAGCATTCAAAATTTAAAGTACTTTATATTCATGGTATTTGAATACACTTGGCATCAAGATGTATCTAATAATTCAAATTTGAATAATATACAAGATTTGATTTCATAAGGCAATATTAAAAAAAAATCGTAAATTTCACTTAGACATTTTCTCACTAGGTATCCTCCTTCTCCTCTAATTTATAAGAAATACAAAAGTTAACATAACTTACTCATTCTAAAACACACCTCTTCTCACATTTTAGCTTTATCCCAAGGAAAGATTGTCTGCTATGTCCGTATAAGCAATGTTGTGAATTCTACCTCGCTTGCTCCAGTCTTTATACCCCACTATATTGCCCCTAGTGATTTTAATTTTGTGACTCTCTCCATCTATGTCAATGTGCCCTCTATACCCAATCCGTATATAAGCTCCCCATTATTCTTTCTTATTCATTTTTTCTCAACAGTAAAAATTACGTAGACGATCTTATGTGTTTACTGCAAGTTTCTCTTCAGGGTTATTACTGCACTTGCAACATTTTCTTTTGAATTATTTTATATCTTTTTCATGGGGCTTGACTTTACAAGGAAAAAAGTTTTGGAGACATTTTTTTAATATGAATACTAATGTTCACGTCTTAGACACAGAGTTGCCTGATGCCCTTCCTCTACCACCTCACGATTCTAACATTGCTTAGGCGTCAAGGGGGGAGGGGCTCCTTCTGTGGAGGACCTTTTTTACAACCATGTTTGTAATGTTTTGAGTATTTATCCTGTTGCTTATAAATCTTTACCTTCTTTATTGGGAGAAACTAATTCGCTTGATTACCAGGTCCTTCCACCTTTGCCAGACATTGCAGTGCATACAAGGAGATTTGCAGATCAATAGAGTGTGTGTGGGTGGGGGGGGGGGGGAGGTGCTGCCATTGCCATGCCTTTGGCTTTCCATCATCTGGTTAACCCTTATTTACATTCTCAGAGGTTAGATCTACTACTTCCTATTTGGGGCTCTAGACAAGATGTCATTGCTCATCTTAACCCTATCACGATGGGTCATGTGTCAAAGACCATGTAATCACATTTGTTGACTTGCATTCAAAATTTTATTGTACTACTATTTTATGAACGTATGTCAGTAAGTTTGGTATCAAATTGTAGATTATAATTAAAATTTTAGTATTATATGTTAGATAACTTCTTAATTTAAAAGTAAATATTAAAAAC